AATGGTAAATAAATAATAATACTACATAATATACTACCTACTCGCATTTCAATAACGTTAATAATGGCTATTATTCAACACGAAAACTGAAAAGTTATAATTATAATTACCTATGTACAGTTATGACTTATGTGCAACTTTAATTTATTGGTAATACCTATTTTGTATATTATAGTTTTTCGAACGTCCTCAATATTATTATTTATTCGTCGTGGATCCCGACAGACAACAGTTCAACACTAATACACTACCTATTGTCTACTATAATATAATATGTACCTATACCTATAATTGGCTATAAGTCTATAACACACAGACGGGATCGATGGACCACAAATTGGAATGATGTAACGGCGGCACTGCCAGTGCGCCGCATCGCAATGCTAGGTAATCGCTCAAAAACGAACAAAACGTTTCGCACGGAGATCCAGCATCCGGTGTTCACTGTTCACGCGTAGTGCGTACCGTTATCATATTATCAACGGTGTGCAAAAGGCATCATTATTTTGGACTATTTTCTTTGTCATTGCAAAGATCGTCGCCGGCACGAATTCCTATATTAAGCTCACGAATCATGTGGTATATACCTAGAACAGTAGAACCTCGCATGCAATTTATAGACATTAACTAGTACTAGTTCATTTTTACTGTTTCTACGGTCTAAGTCTTAGCCTTAGTCATTAAACTCAAAGGAAAATAAATAATAATATAATATTATAGTATGAATAGTATGAATTCAGAATTAGTGGGGCTCGGATTCTGTAGAAAATGCAATTTCGGCGGGGAGTGTGTTGATAAGAAGATAATTCTCACCCATAAGTGTGTTTTAACTTTTAAATCATTATGTATGCAATGAAGTTATTCAATCATTATTTAGCATTTTTACTTAGGTACTAAATGTGCAAATGAGCTCTTAGAGCAGTATAATATAGTGAAACATTTAAAATAATATAATTTATATGAACAATTTTCATATTACATCAGTTTACGTAGATAGATCAATAATTGCATTATTACAATGCATAAAAAATATATTAGCAGCCAATAGGTAGCCGTATCAGGGTTTTTTTAGTGTACGGTAAGACACATTTTGTGCAGTGGGAAAAGTACTTGTGCAATGAAAATTGTTACTTTGTGCAGTGCAAAAAAGAATTCCATGATTATATTTTATTGTATATTATAAAACAATAATTGAGTAAACTTCAAAATAATAAAAAAAAATGTTTCTATTAAAATTAAAAATTGTTTATATTGTTCATAATTATACTATTTTTTTTAAAACAAAAAAAAATATCTACCACCTTTAAGCACATGCTTGTGGTGGTGGTTGAGAGTTATAAATATATATTATATATTTATATGTATTATTATGAACAATTTAATTATAAATAAGAAAAGCGGACAAGAACTGAATAATATCAATGTATACAATTAGAATACTTATAAGTTATAACTAATATTAAATTACAACAGTTAAATATAATTATTTATTATTTATTCAAGTATTAAAAATAACCAAATCTGTATTTTTTTTTCATTTCTATAGTTATAAGATTCCCTTCTGTATAGAAAATTCCCTTTTTATATTTACTGGCATTGAGTCGTAGTTTTTTGGTCCTAGATAATCTATGAGTTTTTGACCAAACGCTTTTCTAGAATACTCCATTCTGACATGAAATTCCCTATTTTTTCTTTTAATAACCCTTCTAATAAAAGGATTCAAAGATTTTAATTATATGTACAATAGTTATTTTTTTATATACAGACTCAAATGTTAACACATATAATAACTGAAAGTTTTCTTTAGTTGAACCAATTAAAGTAGTTTTACTTAAACATACCTATCCTAACAATTTTTCTTTGTAAAAGTTGTATTGACTAGACGCATTTTGAATTTTGATTCAGTCAAAATTATAATTTTGACTATTATTTGATGTAAAAGTATAAAGAAATTAGGTACCTAGTCAATTGATTGTTTTTATTTTTATAAACAATTATTATTACAAATTACCTATTTCAAGTAAATATTACCTACTTAGTATGTATATTATTACTTATAATTACAAACAAAATTTTAAAATTATTATTTACAAATGTACAATAAAAATAGTGCATTAATATAAAATGATTTAATGATGATCACGAGAGAGTCGGGATTTATTTGTTTTTACATATCGTTTCTGACTTTCTGAGTACCTATATGCAGTCTTATGAAAGTAAAAAATGTAGATGGAATAGTAGACAGTAGGTTAATATGTACTAGATAGGTAGTATAGCCGGCACAGTTCACAGGGGCGGCTCCAGAGACATGATAGGGGGTAACCAAATCATAATTTTCAGAAAATGTCGATGATTTTTTTTGTAGCTTTGTTTTTAATAGTATAAAATTTTTTAGAAATACAGCTTTGGAGCCGCCCCTGACAATTCAACGGATAACAGTCCGTAGGGTTTGATATGTATAGACAAATTCCCTACTATAACCGAAGAGTGGGAATAAGTTTGTGCAGTCAGAAAAAATCATTACAAAAAAACCCTGTAGCCATATGCAAGTTTTAATGAAAATTATTCAATTTTTAATTCAATAATAAATATTATATTGAAGTAAATATGTTTTTCTTTGCTTTTTTGGTAATAATTATAATTACAAAATCTAACCTATATTAATAATATAGTAGATAATATGATATTTTATCATTTATTTATATTTATTTTTTATTTTAATATTATATCATATATTTAATATTTTTAACTGAAAGTTAAAAAGTTGAATCAAATAAGTAGGTAATAAGTAATAAGGTTTGAAGGAGAGTCCGTTGAAGGGTTTCTTCACTTCACGAGAGTTGGACAAGTCTGTGGTGTGGAGGTTAAATAAATGCCATTCAAGTAAACTTGAGTTTGGCGTTGGTACTATATAGGTACGCTATTATATCGCTGGAGCGTCTTTTTTCTAGTAACTGCAGGTCAACACTAATGTTATTATTTTTCACTTCCTCATATAATATTATACCGGAATGAGGAGACGACATTGTAAACGAAACGTTATGCATGATGGTGATGCGAAACTATTTTTGAAATGTCCCTCGGAAGTGAACAGGTGGCAAGACTCAATTTGGCTCACATTTTAAAACGAATCTAAACTGCGCAACATGGCTGTAACGCTATCATCGGTGTAAAAAACGTACAATCATAGTCGTCGGCTTATGCCTTTTCGCCATCGCGTCAGCGGTAAGCGGTATATCACGGTAACATCGGAAATCGTATACGTGAAGTAGTGGTAGTCGTTGTAGTAGTAGTAGTATCGATAGTAGTACTGTAGTAGTAGTAGTGAGTAGTGGTAGTAGTACTTAGTGACGGCGGAGCGAGAGCAGGACGGTGACTATCGGAAAAATAAACAAATAAAAGAGGGAACCTCCTCCGCGTGTGTGGGATTCCATAGAATATAGATGGTCGGAAGGTGGTCGGCACGGCGGCGACGTTCATAATAATAATATAACGTAAGAATAGAGTTCAAGGGCTGGTGACGCACGAAGCAGCTCGGCCGCCGGGCGCTTGTTCGTTCACGCAATCGATGGTCGCCACTCTCCACGTACACGTAGTACTATTATAACTTTAGTGTGCGTGCGTGTCATGCATCGGTTAACTCGTTGCCGGGCGCATGCGCATCCTGTATCCATGGCGATAACCCACCGCCGCACAATCGACGATCGATTTATTATTATTAATAATAATAATGTTTCCCCGTAGGAACGAATCTATCGTCGAGCTGCGCAGGATGGAAGTGACTGCCCGGTAATAGTAACGGTGGTGTGCGGTCGTCGTCGTCTCGACTTTCGAGATCGAACGACCGCGGCAGCGTTACCGTGACGACGCGACCACGTCGGGGCAACAGTTGTGCTATAGGATGGGGGAAGAAGACCGCGGTGGGGAGTGATTTCTTATTATATATTATTATTATTATTATTATTATATTAAAATAATCGGACCGTGTTAGCACAAGCGATGCGCGCAGGCGACGCGATACACGCACACAAAGTACGGCGGGCGGCGGCAGAATATTTTGGAGGCCGTCCGTGAACCGTGTCGCCGCCGTCGTCATGGTTCCGCGGACGCACAATAGAAACTCTTGACCGGAAATTCTGCGCTCTACGAATCGCCTCTCCACCGCCACCCACCCGTCAACCATCGTTTCACGTTGTCGTCACGTCTACGGCACGACTACCGCGGTTATCCGTACCCCATACGGTCGACTTCTCCGATCCTCCTCTGCGGGCCGCACTGCAGAGAACAATCTTTTTGACGTCGGCGGTGCCGCGGTGGTCACCGGTTACGCGCGCAAGGGCTTTCCACTCCCGCTCCCTCCAAAACCTATCACCTTTATCGCCGTTTGACCATCGTCAACTAACCGTCGTAGGTAACTCGTAACTCATAACGCTTCCGTCTGTGACTTTTCAAACCATATGATTTGAAAAACGATACTACAAACCTTCCCCAAGTCTCAACTATAAAGGCCCCCATACACGGTCAGTTTTGAATGACAATCAACGTGATTGACATTCATGACTGACCGTATATGTGTATGACTGATAATGACTGACAGTCAAATTTTATGACTGATGAAATTCAAACATGTTTGAATTTTTATCATCAGTCAAGATGATTGACATTCATGATTAACCGTGTATGTCTATGAATGTTCAATTTATCAGTCGATCTAGTCGAATTGTGTGGAGCAGTCGAGTCTTGTTTGCCTTTTTTTGTCGTAAATTGTATATATCTGCGTCCAAAAATGGCGAATAAGGTAAACAATGAGGAATTTTGGCGCGAATTCATATGTTTGTACCGTAGTTTACCCGCTACGTGGAAAGTTAAGAGTGATTTGTACAAAAATAGAATTTTGAAAGAAGACTGTTATGTACAATTAACAAATAAATTAAAAGAAATTGATCCGACTGCTGACATAAATACAACAAAAAAAAAAAAATTAACACATTGAGGTCTAATTATCGTCGTGAGTTGAAGAAAGTTGTAGCTAGCAAAAAGTCAGGTGCAGGTGACAGCTGCAGTTCTTTTAGAAGGTTATGATCAGAGAATGAGTTTTTTTTCGTCAACCATTCTTTAACCCAGAATCTTTTCTTTCTCTTTTTGGGTTTCTTTGCATCATCACACGCGAGATAAATGGCAATACCAATAAGTGCATCTTTATCCATTTTAATAAATTGACAAACTCAAAAATATTTATAAAAATACCTATAAATAAATATAGCCATATAGGTATACCTATAAAAAAATTAATTAAATGTACACAGCACAAAACAATACAAAACAGCACGAATAAGTACACTTTTGAACTGACAAAAAAATGAACGATTGTCATTCTTGATTGATTGTGTATGGAAGTTATCAATCGTCAGTCAATGATTAGTCTCGACTGTCAATCACGTTGATTGTCATTCAAGACTGACCGTGTATGGGGGCCTTTAAGGAATCTATAATGATATAACTTTTATTGAAAACGGACAAACGGTCCAGTAGCTTTGAGTCTATTGAGGGCTGAAAAACAAACAAACAAACATTCAATTTAATATTTAATATATCAGATGAATATTATTGTACATCAGGCATGTCTAAACTAAATATACATTGTGATTACTATGCGGGCCGCACATAAAATGTTTTTTTTTTTAAAACATTTTATTCAACATTTTTAATTTTATTCATGACTTACAAATTACAATACTATATAATATTTATTTAATTACAGTTAATCATAAGATAAGACAGTAAAGAAACATAATGTATATTGTATACCTCTAACTAACATAGTTGTGACACAACAATTTGTATAAATTTTTTTCAATTAATTGTTCTTTAATAAAGGTATCCACGGGTCATGAAAAATGAGCCGAGGGCCTGTTGTATATTCTACACAGAACATTGAAATGCTCTAAACTTTAAAGTGAAAATAATGCAATAATTGCACCTAATCATTTTTAAATATTTATAAATTAAATAGTACCTTTAAGGCTTTAACATTTTATGAGAATTAAATAAATTCTATTGTATGATCTATGAGACTATGAGTAATCTTTCACCAGTATATAATCATAATGCCTATATTAATATAGGTACCAACAGTAATTAATAAGCAAAAATGTTTATTTAAACTTAAAACAAAAATTGATTACCTATCGTGCTTTTTCGATGAAATATATTTCTTTTGTATGTAATAGTTAATAGAACAACGTTATACATATGTTTTACTTTTAAATAGGTTCAACTTTCAACTATTACATTCGAATACTCGATTACGTTAACTCTATTATTATTCTTTAGATTTTCCAAACTAATTATGTAGTAATTCATATTACCATCAATGTAAAACGAAATAAAAATATTATGATTTGGTTGAAATTTGCCAGTTCTAAATTATGTATATCTAATATATTTATTGATACATTAGGTATATAACGTTGTATATTATAATAATTATTAAATACATTTTATATTTAATTTTTAACAAATTATGATAATATTCAATGTATTCAAATACAATCACAATTAATATTGTAAATTTCAAAGGCAAGACTCTAAAATTACCATTAAATTCCAAATATTGATATGTATATGACTGCCAACGTGTACTTAATAAATAAATCTTAAATGCATGAAATGGTTTTACAGAGTGGTTCGCCAAGCATGATCACCCCCATTTTTCCCCTGAATAGTGAATTTATTCAAATTATGATTTTTGGAATTTTTAAATATATACTTGAAAACCATATTTTCAAAATCTTGAATTTTTTTTACTTTAAAGTATTTAGTGGATGTTTTTTTTGAACATTTTGATGTACCTAATTCATAATTTGAATCTACTTACTGTATAATTTGAAGTTGAATTATTTGAAAAACAGAAGTTATTGTATATTTACAGAACACTCCTTAAGTAGTACAAAAATTATCAAGAATTTTAAAATATGGTCTTAAAGTAGGTATATTTAAAAATTCAAAAAATCAGATTTCGAAGAACTGCATTATTGAAGAAGAAGAAGGGGGTGAGCATCATCTGGTTACATCCGTGGGGGGGGTTAACATTTTTTCCATATCCATTAGTGTCACCACATTATTAGACACTTCAACCTGCAAGCTAGTAGATCTCCTACTTTATTCTAGCTGAGGCACCAAATATGTATAGGTTATATGAACATAAATAAATAAGTATTTAAAATATAATCAAATGTACCAATGTACTATGAAGTACAATATATATTAATATAATAAAATACACAAGTTTTTTGAAGGGAGGGGGCGTGAAGTAGGCATTCGCCTTTCCTTTCTGTGATAGTTTGTTAACCCATATTATGTACATTTTTGTCCCTTGTTATCAATAATATATTAGTGCCAGAAATTGATTAAGAACTGCGTAATATTAGAATGTATTAATATATTGTCTTAAACTACGCTATTGGAGAATTACTATTTGCCTATTCATGAAAGGGGCCTTTTCTGGATTTTTTGTAAATGATGGGTGTATAATTACTAACAATAATGAAATTTATCAATCTTTAATTTTGTTATACATATCATAATATTATTACAGTTTATAAATTATTCCGTACAACATAATATTATAACACGCGTCATTATCTCTGACTGCCTTCAAGTATTAATCCGGCTCTCAAAAACTAAGTTAAAGTGACATGCCACATTTCCACTGTTCATATCGTTTTATATATTATATATGACGTATAATATATTAATATATTAAAATATAACCATTTACATTGTGTTGATTTTATTTAAAATCGATAATTTATTGAATAAATCACTTGAATTTAAGTATAGGAAATACTTATCTCACCTTGACGTTGAAGTTTGATATTATCAAATAGTTCATGTATTAAATACTAAAATACCTACGCAATAAATGTACTTATAAATTATAATCATAATAAACTACATTAGATTAATCCCATTAATAAATAATAACACTAATGTAGTAGTATCTGACGTTGTTGGTGTCGTCAACTGTAATTAACGAAGTAGTAGTGGTGATAGTCATATCTTATTTAGATACCAGATACTCAACTAACATTTCAGGCAATATAAAAATATAGAAAAAAGCAAAAACTAAAGATTTTATATTGCACGACTGTTTAATATTTGAGCCACCAATCACAGCAATCGATAGATTTGAAACGAAAATAATATCATCTATTTTTCACGAAATCTTCGTAGGTATTTGGTTTACCGTTTACTAGTTCCCCGTTAACCAATTAAAATATTTATAATCAAAATTTCGTGTAAATTGTCTCAATAATATATTATTGTTTAATTACGTTTGGTGCTATTTTGAAGAAAATTGTTTGAACCTAGTCCAGAAATATGACGAGCCGTGTACAGAACTACAACACAACTGACGTAAATCGTAATCACGAGAGTGTACGTTAGTATTATTACCTACGATTACCCTTGGCGGTGGGTTACATTAAGACCGCCGATAATAGTATTATAATCCCACCGCATTTTCCCATAAAACCTCGTGGGTCTAGGTCAATATTGGAGCTATGAAAATAAACAAACGAAAAAATAAACCCGTATTTTATTACATTTTGTACGATGACGCGACGGTGAAATCGTGAAAACGATTCGGTGCGGAACCTTCGGCGACCAGAGCGCCTTCGTCACATCCGGTATAGTGTGACGCAATCGCTGCGACGTCGACCGTGTCTTCGAGGCGGGTAAATGAAAAGTAAAAAAGAAATAAAAATACCGAACTCGACAACTCGGTCGTTGGAAACAACGTTTCGCAAACCCTATTGATGCCTGCCCCCCCTCCCACCCCGGGTCACTTACACGTATGTACGGACTATCGTCGGAGACTCGGCGGTGACGACCAAATAATATCTTGCGACGCAATCGCTTGTGCTATATAATAATAATATAGTAGTAACGATAACCGGTTGGTAAGTCGACGGAATGGATAAAAAATGGTAAAAAAAAATCTTTTCATTTTAAACATGACGGGACTGGCGCAAAAAAACTCCCGTGTGCAGCGGCGGTTGCACGCACGCGCACAGGTGCATTCCACCGTCAGTACACGGCTAGGCATCGCGCCGATCCGGTACGGGGTGGTGGTACGCGCGAGTGCAACGACGTCGCCGCCGCCGAGGAATGGAAAGGAAAATAAAAAACAAACAAACCGGTCCCGACAGCATTCCCAGACGATCTTGTCCGTTACCACCGTCCACCACCGCTTGCGCGCGCACAGCGACAAGTCCGACTGCCGTACACGTACGTGCGCCCGGTGCGCGTCGTGTATTCCAATATTCCATATTATTTCCATGCCGCCGGTTCCAAGGTCCTCGTCTGGTACACACCGCCGTTCGGCTCACCGATCTCTCTCCGGCCGCCTACTCACCCGCGCGTCCAAATCACTCGTATGGTATTTTTACGGCGGCGGCGCAAATCTAACCACCGTCACCCGAGTGCATACAAACAGAATAATATGTCGTGTTCCCGTCGTCGACATCATCATTATTACATTTATCATTCACCGATTTATCAAACTTACCGGTTTACTATAATATAGTATATAATATATTATTATAGTATTATAGTATTATTATCGTAAATATTAAATTTCGTCGCATTAGTTTTTCCGATAACTGCGTCGTAGTTTTCGACTTTGTCCCCACCACGCATTCACTCCCACATCCACACAAACACACGTTGTTCTTTACTGCGTTTGATCGTTTTATACCTTATTTTTTTAGATTTAGTAATTTGTAATAAATATTTATTAAAATAAGTATAGACATTAAATTTGTATCTTGTAGTATAGTCTCAATAAATTGATAAAACAGTACTTTATTTTTGTTAGCTAACTATTTTAAAATACGTTTTATTGATAATATAGAAAAATTACATTGTATTCTAATTTTAATGAACATTTTATCACCATGTACAATAACAAAGGTGGGCAAGCGGATGTCGCTCTGCTGTACAGTACCTAGGTTACTAGTGGGTCACTGTATAATGGATGGTATTAAATTTGAATTCGATTTATAATATCATTGTATAAGAAAAACGATTCTGAGCGGAGACGGTATGTCAGTCTAAGTATAAGCCATATTATATACTTATCTATATGCTATTAAAAAAAAAAATTGTACCCGTGCATATGTATTTTTTTAGATTGTTTGGTAAT